ATTCTTAGTAAGACTATTCTACTGCGGACCATCCTTAATCCAATATGGATACGACTACAGTACTTACGTAGACATTATTCACACCAGCCAAAGTACAATGAATTAACCATATCCTAATATATGATTTACAGTTCTATTTTTACCTATAGCCATATTAGTAACTCAACAGCTTTACTGTACTGTATATAGTCATCTGTACTCTAGCATAGAGTCTCTAGCACTACAGTCTATAGTTACAGCTACCAAATATCTCTTAGGATAAATATCTACCGTACATTATACTACACATGGCTAACAGTCTACAATCACAATACTAAGTTACATTACAGAAATATATCCCATTCAAAAATTTTTCTATCAATAACCATTAATGCATCATGATATAGAATTGGGGTAATCATTACCAAACAGTAGTCATTAACACGTGTAATGAAATGAAAAGTGTAGAGATCAAGCTACAAAACTTTAATAAACTTTGATTCTACTTTCGTTGCACTCCGGTCGACTTAACGAAACTTTGACACCAAATAAAATCTGGGGAAATAATCGATCAACAATTTATTACAAAAAAATGGAGAGAAGTATAAAACGAACAACCTTACATACATTTAGCTTTAAGTATTAATAAAATAAGTGACGGACTTGGAAACTGTCAACAACCAAACAACCTTTCAAAAAAGAAGAACGTTTTAACTTAGGACAATTCGACCCCGAAGGCCTTTTAAATTTATCAAGTTCTTCAAAAGAATCTTATTCTACTCTCCTCTAAATTTTCTAATTGCACCATCTTTTATAGGCTTCGCAGAGCCGTCAGAGGTATTTCAAACTAAACATTTACTAACCAATAGCCCTTAAGATCCATTTTACAAAACTACTTTGCACCATTTAAGAAAACAAAAATCATTCAAAGTTCAGACACAATTTACCCTACAATTCCCTTACAAAACACTATAAAACCAACAAGTTAACTATAAAATATGTCAAACTTCACTTCTAACATAATTTCTATCATTGATACATTCTAAAAGTCTAAAAATTAACCTTTAAAAATCAAGATTTAGTCATAAAAATAACAGTCTAACTACTTAACAATCAACACAACCTCTGCCAATTTCCATCTTATTTTCTATTTTCCTAACTAAACTTTCCTAATGTGACTTTCATGTCACGTCATAAAATTCCCAATTTTTAAATTCATAACAAAAAGTACAAATTTCAAAAATCAACTCTTACGATATTTTCCATAAACTAAAATCCAAAATTAAAACAGAAAAATTAAAACAGATAAATTAATACAGAAAAATTATATCGGGCATGAATCCAACCGGTTCTGGAATCCCAATCCCAAAAATCCGGATTTTATAAAGATCACAGTAATCGCTTAACAAAAAATTTTATATGACTAATACGACTACTTTTCTGACATTAGTATCGCTTAGCATTGTCAGTTGATGTTTTAGTGTCAGGTTGTACGATAACTGTACGATTGATTATAGACTACATTACAGTACTTTACCGTCACGTTATAAATCCTCTTTCTCTATAGATAGGGTTTTGTTGCTAAGTCAAATTCGTTTACAATTTGAATAGACGATCAAACGCCCTTTCATTAGATTAGGCAATTGCTCTAGGGCTACTTCTATAGTAATCTACATAATACATTGTAAAATAACGAAGAAAAAAAGATGGCGACATGATGATTTGGCAGGGTAAAACTTAAAGACACTATGACTTTATAGGTATTTTCTAGTGTAAAACAATACTAGTTACATACTAAAAGCTACAAAGGACTCTACTTTAGTCCTTTACTACACACGTTTTACCATTTACTGGTGACATTAAAAATTGACTTTTCTCTAATATTATTAATCGAAAAAACTGTTATCCTAAAATTACATTAAAATATTGGAGTATCTATATATTATACGCTCAAAGTTTTATCCAATAGGCTATTTCATCGATAGTACAATATTCTGTGACAGTATACGAGTGGATTATTCTAGCCTAAATTTACTAGATAGCTTTTCCAGGGATAGGAAATTAGGTATTTGAAAATTGTATGCGTACATCAGCGCTATCGTTCTATAACATTTTGTGGGCTTAAGTGGACTTAATACTAAGAAGGATTTATAAAAATAATTCAAATCGCTTATCGGGAGGTTATAGGATTTCCAATATCATATAAATGCAAGGTCTATCGTAGACATACCATAGGCTAGATATAATCTTTAAATATTGATCATATTATCTAAAACTGGGAAATAAATTGAAACATGTTAAAAGAAATAATCTTTTTTACTTGAATTTTATGCTAAGCCAGGATCTCAAGTAATAAAGTCAATGGAATGTTGATCTGTGACAGAAAAGATAAATGAGCAAGAAACAACGCCTAACTGTTTATCTCATGATCGCTATTACTTACATAGTATTGATGTTGATATTAGCACTCAAGGCGATAAAAATATCTATTAAATACGTACACATTTTAAATGGGCGATTTATCTCTAAAGTTATTAAAGTAATTTTTAGTGTCATTAATTAAGCATAATAAAAACTGGATTGATTTTTATTCATTAAATGAAATTATACTATAGTCTGACTATGACAACATGTGAATATAGTACTTATTGTTCCTATTGCGTAAATATATTTAATTTGAACGTCATGGACGACAATAATGCTTTCTGCGAGACGAAATTGCCATTTCATCTTGAGAAATAATAATATTCGGGGTAATTTAATAGGGTTAAGATGTCAAATATTTGGTACTATATCAGAAATTGGAAGATAAATATAATAGATGTGATGATTTCGAATATAAAGTAAAATCCTTACAATTTTCTTATATCAGAGATGGAATTGAAAAATCTCAAGTTTGTAGTTATTGGCGGTATCTTTTCCTTTCTAAACAAGAATTAAATTGGAATAGTTTTTGGAAAATACTGCAATAGAAATTCCGCTGATGATTCTCTAATATGTGCTGATACAGTTAAGCAAATTATCGGACGTCAGACCAAAAACAATAAATTTTGCTATTTTTGGACAGGAATATTGACTGTACTTTCTTCCAATATGAAATTTTAATATCATTGAAACGAAATCTAAGTTACAATTGCTTGATGTTTTTTTCTCTCTCTCCTGTTTATGATTGTACTACAAGACTGTCGTAGTCCATGCACGTCTGATACTGCATGTTTCGAAGCTATAGCAAATCAAATATAATATTGATGTAGTTCAAATGTGTGAAATTTAGAAATTTTAACCTTACAGTTAACTATTTATTATTTAAAATGCGAATATTGGTGTACCGCATATTCTGTCAGATATTCCAAAAAATGAAAATTGAAACTTGTAACGTTGTATCAATGGCGTCCCCATACTCCCACTAGTAAGCAAAAATAAATGTTTCTATGACGTTAATAGGTTTTTCTTTTGCAAAATCTGCTAATTTAATTTCGATTCTGCCCTAGTTTACTTTAAAAATTTATACTAAATATTCCATCTAAATCGTTTTGGTGAGCGAGAAAAGGTTAGCTAATCTAAATTGCTATAGATGCAATTTCACTTCAAATTGAGCAAGCCAGCATTGACGCATTATAAACACAATTAGAGTATTTTTCATTACTTTAAAATTACCCTAGCAATGCACGGAATTTTCCTTGTTAATCAAAGAACAGCCTCATTAACGTTATTGTTTCCTGTCATTTCTTTCAGCATATCGATGGTGCAGATCGCATTAAAATAACTTTTATAAAAGGACCAACGAAACAATTTATTTACGTTGTCTTCACTTCAATCGCTTAGAAATCAGTATACTTCAATTTGTGGCTAATTGATGTTGATGCTAATGTTATTCACGAAATAACCATCTTTCTAGTTACTTAAAATGGCACTATGTCCATACTTTAAAAGATTACTATGAATATTTCCTATAGAAAGATGTCGAAAAATTTTGTAGCTAGAAAAAAAAACAAAGTCAATGTCAGTAAACTGAGCTAAATTAAAAAAGATGAAATAGCTCAATTCCCTACTATTTGTATCCTAAGCTCTTCTAATGTTTAAACGTATACTTTCTTAAAATAACAACTACTGTCTTCATTAGAAATACTGTATAGAATTTCGATGTTGCAGTACTAGTATTAATATACAGCATTGCAGGAATAGCAACCTTGCAGGCGGGTACTTGCTAACAAAGCCAATTTATTGCGATTAATGTAGAAAAGTAATAGCGATTCGATATAGCTGTTTTATTAACTTGAGTAAATAATGTAGTTTCATAAGAAAATTAGTAGCTCTGGTCCTATAAGTATCTTAACCGGCGCAGAGTTCTAATTTTCAGAGTAACTTATTTTCGTATATTACTATGGCATTGGTGGGGGAGCGATGATATCAACACATCGCGTAATAAGAAAGGAAAATCGATCGGTCAAATTGCGTTAGGGTCTCTCTTATCCACTATAAATGATGGATCAGTCTGCATTTATCGTAAATTAGAATACTTAAAAATTATACGAAACATGCATTCGATTTCAGATACTAGCTATAGTGGATTACAAGGTATAGATAAAAAATTTTGATCACATTGCCTAAAGGGTCGTGGTTTTACTGTTTACTTTTATATTTATCTCGATACAGAATATAATATGTTGTATATCATGACCAGCAAATCGATTTTACGTTTGGATATTCTGCAAGGAAAAACAAATTATCTATAAATTTTAATCTGAATACTTTATTATAGCAATTCATCAATTTTAAGTGAGAGCGAATTTAAAAATTGAGAATACATTTTCATCTAGTAGCGATTACCGTATATAAGTGGATTTACTGTTAAGCTAACCAATACCATAACAAATGAGTGCTCAATCGTAAAATCGAAATCTTCATTTTATAATTTAATTTCATCCAAAAAATATTTCATAGTTCAAAAATTTCGCAAACAATTTTGGATTACTTCTAGAGTGAATTAGAATACTATTTTATTGCTCATTTAACTAGTATTAAAAGTCAAGAAATAAATTTTTCCCCCCAGCAGCGTTCACTCTCATTGAGCGGCTTGCTGGATAATGCGATATACTATGATGGTTACTATCGGATGATCGCACAATCGTAAACGATAAACTTCCACTGGGTGGCTGCTTCTTAACCGGTAGAAATTGCATTATGTATCGCATAGGATTTTTACAACACAACGATCGATATGTCTGACGGAAATCTCGATGTGAAAATCCAAAGATAAATGGATTGGCTAAGGCGTTAGCGTACATACACCAATAAAGTAGAACGCGATAGTAAGCATCACTAACATTATAATATTCAAAATTTAATGTCATAGTTATACCAAATATAGCTGTTGGCGCTGCACAAATCAAATAAACACCAACGAGTATAACCGACGTTTTAGTAGGCTTATTAATCCATGATAGCTTAACCATTCGTGTCGGTAGTTGCTGCCGTATATTGAATTGCCTTCTAAATGGCTGAATAGTGGTATGTACTTTTTTAGCTTTATACAGGATAATAATGTAACATATTGAAACGATAAGCAAGAGTCCAATAAAAGTATTAAATAGCAATAATAAGATGCTGCCATTTTGTTGAAATTTTTTTATATCTAGCCAGCATGAATACATATAACTGACATAGGTATAACGACCGAGGCCATATTGTTCCAACTGCATTAACGGAATAGAACCAAATAAACTTGCTAATATCCATGTAAATATAATAAGGGATCCCATTTTCCATTTTGTAATCCACATTGGATAATGCAATGGCTTACAGACATAGATACAGCGATCTATGGCAATATAAGCGGCAGTAAATTGCGAGACAGTGACTATAACAGTAATAAGATATGCACGCATTGCACAACTTAACTCGTTAAACATATAAGACTTTTTCCATGTGTATACAACGGTCGTAGTCATAAATATTAATCCGATGCATAAATCAGCAGTGGCTAAGTTGGCCATCAGTAAGCCAGACGGATCATGCATATTCTTATTGCGATAGATAACTATAATAGATAATAAATTGCCTAATATGCAGGCAATGGCTAACAAAATTAAAATAACAATAGCCAGATAGTTGGTTGATGAATAATATGGCAATGAAGATTGCGTTGAATTGATAGAATCCATGGTTAAGGTTAAAAAATTTGGAATGTTATGGCCTAATTAAATTTAGATTATAGATCGAATATCAAGTTAATAGTACAGAGGTGAAACCTTAAGCAATACTGATAATTATAATTAGAAATTTAGAAATTTAGAAATCAAAATTACATGAAGAGAATAACATTATACTCTTCATGAGAAAAAGCTAAAGCAGGTCCTAGAAATTCTTTTGTTGCCACGAAAAAAATGGCTGGTAAAGATGAAAGATTTCGATATCGCTATGTAACTTTGCATAGGAGATTGATTGCCAAGAACTTTATAAATGGAAAAAGATGAATATTGCAGTAATTATAAAAGTAGAAATCGCTTTCGATTTTGAATCTTGTGTATAACTTTTTGACTTTTTGGCCAATGACAGTACAATCAGAATATGCAGGTAGAGATGTTAGCCAAATGTGGCGCGATATGAACTACTGTTCTTTTAATTTTTCCTGCCAATTTATGTCTAGACTACAGAAAATCGTATAATACCACGCTTCTTTCTATTTAAGACATATATATTGTACACGGGCTGAACTAAAATATTATACAAATTGCATTGAAAATAATATTTAAATGTCAGGCCTTAATATTAAGACCTTTATATCGTATAGACCAATATTAAAATGACGAGGCAATAGGCAATAAGTATACGATAGACCATTGTAGTCTAAGACTGGAATAAAGAGGCGGAAATTGATTGTAGACTGTGTTATTGTTTAGGCCAATTTAATAGATTTGATGCAATATATTAATTGAATCAAGGCTTGATTGGCTTGACAATGGTTGTTTCCTCAGATTTAAAAATAATAAAATCAATGTTTACTGTGCTTTTCTCTTCATCATCATAGTTACCTTGCCTGAAATTGATTATTCTATGATTGTAGATCACTATGACGATTCCATACTTATTGGTCGTGCTCAACTGATATTTACCTTTTAGGTTGATCTCCACATTAAATAATAATATATGAATAAGGTTGCCAGCTCGCCTTGTTAAATTATCTTTAAATGCTTTTATTCCATCAGTGCAATTGTAAGTGAATAAATCTAGAATCTGCAAGGATATTCCTTGACTAATATTAATATTGACTAGATCGTGCTTCAATAGCAAAACTGAATCATTGTGAAATGAAAGTAGATTTATTTCATTCGACCATTTCACGTACTACTACAAATAAACATTAGACTAAATTGAATCAGTTATATTTAAAACATAGTGGATGAGTTAATTGATGTTTTTTTTTCACAATGATTCATTATTTTGCTAATTACAAGCCTGGCTTGTGATACGGTAACTTAAAAATAATTTACTTTGTCATAAAAGTAAGCCATTAGATCACAATTTTACCAAAGTAAAGACCTAATGTGAGAAAGATTACACTAAAGCTATAGATTTATTGGAAAACGTCAGCCAAAAGCTATACCCACAATATCAACAGTGGATGACGTTATACAGTAAATAAAAATATTATTATACTTCTACTCCAGTCCAAATGACTTGAAATTGAATTTTTTATTTAATTTTGCTTTCGGCGGAAAAGTTATTGCTTTAGGCTATTATCTGAACATTGTTACGATAAAAATTTAACTTTAATTTCATTTTATTAATCTCTTGATAATTGTATATTATGAAGTAAAAAATTATAGGGATGAATATTTTAAATCGAATAGATGAGGTTCATTATTAAAGCTGCAAATTTTTATATAAGTACATGGGGTTCTATGATAGCGTTAGAATTCTAAGGCGGATGGCAGATTTTACGGATAATCTCATTGAGCACCATTGATGGTCAATGATATGTTTATTAAGGTCTAAAATTCACTTTCATTTCATTATAATTGAATATAAATTTATACTATACATTTAAGTTTTATTTTTTAATTTAATACTAATTATTGATAAATATGCCTCCAAAAAGATTGCGCAAACTATCCTATATATGTACGTAATCTATTACTATTATTATCATAATATTTATTGACTATATCATAGTCTAATTTCACTAAAGGAAGAGCAAATGGTCATGAATAATTAGCAAGATGCTTTCCTGAAAGAAGCCTTCCTATGATGATGTCTTCGCGCCGCAGTAACATATTTCTGCTTTAGTTTGTTATTTCAATCTAAATTGAAATCACATGATTTACTTGAGGTTCATTCAGACAGAGATAAAACTGACTGCAATCTAGAAGGAAATTTTCTACCAATAAGTTTACATGCTAAATATTTAATGAAACTTCCAAAACATGAAAGATAACGAGACATATTAAAACGAGCAACGCATAAATCAGGTGAATTTATTAACCGCTTAGTTGACCAAGATAATTAGGAAAAATTGTTATATGCTCTCATTAAATAACAAGATTAAGGCAAATATCTAATACTTGGAATAAAACTATATGATCAATCAAATGTGATTGCACTTGCGAGATGCAACATAATTATTATTATTTACATGTAAAACTTATAGCCTAACAACGTATATCGCATTTTTTTTAAAGTGAATGGTTTCAAATACCGGTGCTATTTATTTTAATTAATTATCTTTCATGCTTGCGAAACGACTTTCAATTTTTATTCCAGTAATTATTTTTGACTTCTTATAAACCTTCCTTACTAAATGAATGATTGATAAAATCTTCAACCTGAACCAAATCGACAAAGACCTTATGATTGCTATTCAGTCATTAGCCCACAAGCTTAGAAAATGATAGTATACCAGTAAATATCTACTTGAGCATCAACTTTGGGGCAGAATAACGATTATGATTCGCGATTTGGATATCAAACATATTAGTTAAGCGTTGTGATTGATTGTATGCATGTAGAAAACTTCACTTCAGCAAGTAGGGGATAAGACAGTATTAGTCATTATTCTAACTCAGGCATGAATATTGATGTAACCTATATTGTTAGAGCAATCGAAGTATTGGCATAATTCCTGGTTTGATAAATAAAAGCGCGCTTGGAATATCCATCAGGCTGGCTAGCTGAATATATGGGATTACTGCATGTTGTTTACTGTACCATTAAGGTTAAATTACTGATATGGCTTTCTAATCTTATTAACAGAAAGATATTTGATTAGTTAACAGTCTTTGTTTTAAACATTTTTACATAAATTCCTACTGTGGTTTTTTAGTGGAAAGCTGTCTCATTTTTGCTTACCTTATCGATTACTGTAGACATAGAATGAAAGGATCATAGAGTTAAATTACTGGTGAGGCTATTCAGTCTTATTAATAAAAGGATCTTTGATTAGTTAATATTCTTTATTTAAATGCTTTTTTGCTCAAGTTCCTACTGTGACATTTTTACAGAAAGTCGTTCCATTTTTGCTTAACTTATAGATTACAGTTAGATATAGAAGAAAAGGATTTTAATGCGATATTGGCAAGATATCAATTGCATGAATCTTATTATAAAAAGATTTTAATAACCTACATGACTTAAATTACCAACTCAATAGTTACTCTTTTAAGCAACTTTGGAAAAGTAAAATTTAACACTGTTATCTAGTAAGTAAAACCACACATACTGTACAATAAATGCTAGAAACAAGGGGTCTAGGTGGACGGCTAGATTAGTTTCATTTATGATGTTATAGAATATGCATTTTGCAATTATGGAAATGGAGATAATTTGCTATTCTCTTAATGCTAATATTTCAAAATTTCTTAAAATTTTCTCACCTATGGAAGCGTATAACTATGCTATAATTACTTAAACTATACTTAATTATTTTAGCTAAATTTACGAAATGCTTTATTGTAGGTGAGAGCTTTACATATTGATATTACATGCATAGTAAAATATATGTTACAGAGTTTTAATTCTTATCATGACTAGGTTACATTTTGCTGCAACTGACTTATCATGACGCAATTACTCAGCGATTTTAGATACTGTTTAATGTGTTAGAGTTTTACAATGATATACCTTACATCAAAAGTCAGATCTCAATCGTATTTAAGCTACTCTATCGTTAGATTCAAAATAATTCAACTTTACTTTCGTGGTTTCGAACAATAAGCTCAGATTGATAATCAAGTATGCTGCTGCTTATGAAATTATTGTTAGTTCTTTATCGATATATATATTATAAGAATAAAAGCAGCTGAATAAGGTTACATGTAATCGTTTTCGGAATTAGTCCTATTGAAAAATTCAAAATAATCTGAGATTAAGTTCTTTTTACATGATTTCATCATTCTCACGAGAAAACTTAAATATAACACAATTTTTAATATTTAATTGCTTTTGATTGTACAGAATTAGCTAATTCATATCACACGTATTTATCATAGATTTATTAAATAGATGAAAAAGAACATTGTAAAATGTCTGTCTCTTGACGTAGTACCGCACTTTAGCCTTGATAATCAATTCCAGCCTTGAGCTTACGTTTCAATTAAAATTATGACATGGGGCATACGTATTTCCAGTTATGAAAATTACGCAGGATTATCAACATCAGAAATTATTGCAACGATCACATCGTCTCATTTACCTGTAGAAATTTCTGTCTTATTTTACAATTCTTATACGAATTACAAAAATAAATTTTGTTATAAATAAGAATATGTCAGGTATCGCCACTCGTGATTAGTAAAGATTAGTCCCATCATTTATAAATTCGATGTAGAACAATTCTATTGTAAAAAGTAATACTGGAGTCCATTTGAATCGATTGATATTTCAGTTCCAAAATGATTTTCTATTGTCATTATTTAGGAACCAGAATCTAGTCACGTTGAATTTTTGCAGATAATAAACTCCATTTTGAGACGTCTATTACTGAAATTGTTAAAATTATAGCAATTATACGAGTTATTGACAACGGGCTGCCAAATGGGTGCTCAATTTCATTTATGTCCATGTTACTATTCATTTCTATATTAAAATGTTCCCATGTACGCAATAATATTGATATTATATAGCAGATAATTGGTCACGTAAATCAGTTCCTAATAGTGATAGGAAA